GCAGAGATGTGTGCTGGGATGAGCCATGTGAGAATGAAGGCATGTCATGGCTTCCACGTGGCTGATGCAGAGGACAGGAAGGAGAATGGAAGGAGAGGAGGCTGGGGGCTGCCGGGGCAGGTGTGCAGGGCCTGAAATAACAGGCAGAGGAGGTTAGGCTTTATTGAGCGGGCAAGGGGGAGCCATGGAGAGTGTGTGAGCAGAGGGCAACAGTGACCATCCTGGAAGCCAGGGAGGAGGCTGAGGGCACAGTCCTGGAGGTGAAGGATGGATTCAGGCAGCTCTCCTCTTTCTTGGGAGAAAACCAAAGACAGTAGGGTTCTGGAAGCCAGGAAATGAGGGTGAGGATGTCCCTGGTCTTTGGGCATCCAAACAAAAAGAGCTAAATTCCCTTAGAAAAGGGATATTTTAATGGAGAAAAAGCTATTCTCTAATTGGAAAAAAAAAAAATCCAGAAACAGGTAACTTCAGAGAGTTTCTGTTCCTAGAGATTTTGCATGTCCTTAATTGACTTGTAATGTCTGCTTGGAGTGCTGTGTTGGCAGGTGGGGCTGGTAGGGGGCTCAATGAAAGTGTGGGGATCGGCTAGCAATGTCTGCCATGGGCACAGGTATGGAGAGAGGCTTATTTGAATTTGGGTTCCTGGTTGAGACATTTCCTCCCATCCTTTGCCCTCTTGTGGCCTCTCTGAGAGAATGCATGGAATCCCCAGGTGGGTCCAAGGTTTTATCTCTCGCTTTAGAATTGAAAAAGGCCCTTGGTGCCAGTGACGTGTCTTGCACTCTGGATGGCTGCTCGGAGGCCCCGCGGGACCGGACAGGAGTAGGTGAGGACCTCAGATGCCCTTGGGCCATGCCAGTGAATTGTTGGGGGGTAGTGGGGGCTGGCATGGGGTGTAAGGGATGGTTGTAAGTGTGGATTCCTGGATGGAACAGCATATATAACTTATCCCCTGACCCAGCCGGGTTGGCCAAGCTCATGGTAAAAGGGCAATGGGGAGCCAGTGTTTGTCTGAGCCACAGAGGTACTCTCTGACATGCATAGGAATTTGTGTCCCGTTTCGTCTTGCCAGGACTAGGACTCCATGGAGTGTCTCCCAGCAGCTACCAGTTCCCAACACTGCAAGGGGAGATTGTGGTGATGGGAGCCTTGGGTCCACCACAACAAGGGCTGCTCTGGGAGATGGGTATAGGGAGCCAGGCTCAGGGCCAGGGCAGCTTGGCCTACTGCAGGATCCTACAGCGAGCTCTTTGTTGGAGTAGTAAATGCATGTAGGGCTGAGGCTGACACTGCTGGTGGGGCAGGGATCCTCAGCTCCAGCCGTGAGATGGAAATGTGTCATGGGGACTTCCCTGAAATGGGGCAGAAAACAACTAGAAGCAGACCAGTGGGCAGGACGGCTATAACCTGGATGTTCAGAATCCAGGGCAGGTGCAGGGATCCTGGAAGAGCTCACAGCTCAATCCCCTTGTGTATTGCTGTTGTGAGAGGCAACTAAGCAGCTCCCACATTTTTCGGCCGCAGAAACTCTGAGACAATATGTGTTGTTTTTAGCTGCTAACTTTTGGGACCATTTGTTACACAGCAATAGCTAACTAATACACTAATACATTGCTGATCTGGGGTAGCCTCCCGTAGTTGATCACTGTAGATAAACTGATGAATATACATAAGTGCTGGGATGAATGGAGATTAAACTATCTTAGAAAGACTTCTAGGTGTCAGAATACTTGGGGATTCGCAAGTGAGGATGAGGGATTGTAAATGGGCCCCTTAATCTGTTTGACCAGAATCTAACCAATGATGGCCATTTTGCTTCTAGTCTTCCAACTAACTGTTAATGTTACAGGGAATGACCTTGTACATACTTTCCAGGCAAGTGCAGGTCTCTGTGGGTAAATCCCCCAGTATGAAATCTCAGGGTTTTGAGCATTTGTATTTGGCATTTCAACAGCAGTCTCCAGAGCACTCTTCACCAGTCTGGTCCTACCTGGTGACCCTTACCTGTGTGCAGGTGGCCCATTTCCCCACAGACTGCACAGGCTACCAGCTGACTCAGGATTTCTCAGATCTTCTGAGTGAATAATGGCATCTTGGCGTCATTTTTATGAGCATGTCTTGTTGGAGATGGATTAAGCATCTTTTTGTGTGTTTTTAAGAACTGTTTTTAGCTTCTTTTCTGTGAAACTTTGTTCCTCTCTTTGGCCCCCGTATCTTCTGGGCGCTTGTCATTTTCTGCTCAGTTTCTTTTGCTAGGCTTCCATTTACTGAGCATTTACTCTGTGCCAGGCATTTGATGTGTTTTGGCATCCTGATGACACTTTCTATTTTACAGATGAGGAAGCTGAGGCTCAGAGAGGAACTTGCCCTGGGCAGCCAGGCTCTGGTACCGAGGTCCGGTCACTCTGCCCGCTGCCTCCTCCTAGAACATTCCGCAGTTGAGTCTTTGGCCACCTCAGTCCTCGTTCCCATTGGATAAATGTCTACTAGTGGAATTTCAGAGTCAAGCATATGCACCATTTCAAGGCTTTTATAACCCTCATACCTCCACCTCATTCCTCTCCAGAAAAGCTGGGCTTTTTTTTTTACACTCCCATCAGCGGCATTTGTGCATATTCTCCATATCCTTTCCAAACACTAGAAATTTTCACAAAAGAAAAAAAAGTGAATTTGAGACACACACACATTTGTTTAGTTTGAATTTCATTAATGATTACACTGAACCTAAAAATATGTTTATTGGCCATTTTTATGTTTGTACTTTTTGTTGTTGTTTTTTAAGTGAATTGCATGTTCATGGCTTTTACCTACTTTTCAGGAGAGTTTCTCTTTTTCTTATTGATCTCTAATAACTCTTTGTATATTAAAGATATTAATGCTTTGTTATACAGGTTACAGGTACTTTTATTCTCAGCCTGCTGTGGACCTTTTGGGTTTGTTTATTTGCTCCAAATCTTAACTTGGTATCAAGTTTCCCAGCTGAGAGTGAAGCATTTGCTGACTTCCCTCCGCTTGCCAGAAGAGTCATCTGTCTACTGGGGGTTGGCAGCTTCTCCCTATCACAAGCCTTCCAGCTGCTTCCGGAGCAGATTCCGAGGGATTTCCCCAGGGTCCTTCTTGGTTCAGCTTTCAGAGGGGGATATTCACGCTCCATGGAGATGGTTTCCTCCCATTCTGCCCTGGAGTTTTCAGCCTCCCCAAAGAGAAAGATTTTCCTCACTTTTCCTGATGTTACCCTCCAACTCAAACTTCTGGGATACATTTGTGCTTTCACAGCCCTTGTACAGTTGTTTTGTTTGTTTGTTATTTTTTATTTTTTTATTTTTTAAAGATTTTATTTATTTATTTGCTAGAGAGAGAGCGCATAGGCGAGAGAGAGTGAGCAAGAGTACAAGCAGGGGGAGGTGCAGGCAGAGGGAGAAGCAGGCTCCCTGCTGAGCAAGGAGCCCGATGCGGGACTCGATCCCAGGATCCTGGGATCATGACCTGAGCTGAAGGCAGCCGCTTAACTGACGGAGCCACCCAGGCGTCCCTGTTTGTTTGTTTCTTAAATTTTTAACCTAGAACGTGATGTTGGTTCTGTAAAATTAGAGCAACAAGAACTTGTCATCCTGCCCTCTTTGAGAAAATCACTATTTGCTTTTGGTTCTAAAATCTTCCAGTCTTTTCTCAGTTTATCAGGGTATGGGACGTGTCTTGTTACTCTGTTTTTCTAACTTAATATGAATGATCTTTCCTTGTCAGGTCCATAGAGTGTAAAATTATTTTTGCCATTTTGTTACAGAAAGTTTCAAAACATACCCCAAAAGTACACCCCTGTGTGCCCCCTCTCGGATTCAGCAGTGACCAAGTGTGGCCAGATCCCTTTCCTCCACTCCCATCCCTCACCCCCTTAGTCCATCGTATAACCAGTACATTTTAGGCTGTGTTTCCAAAATATTCAGCTAAAAACTGAACTTGAGCAAAGGGTTGTTGTGGAAAAAATCTGGAGAACAGAAGCAAAGGAGAGAAATGAAATTGGAACAAGACGATGGACAATGAGAAGGACGTGGAGGAGGAAGGGCAAGTATCAGGTGACTCCGCTAGCCAAGCTGGGAGATTTGGAGTTTTGGGTCAAGCCCACCGCCCTGTCTTACTTCCTTAAGTTCACGCCCTACTGTCCCTTGAGCACAAGGCCACACGACCTGGGCCCTGAATTTTACTTAACAATACTGAATCTTTTCCTCCCGGCCACCATATGAACAAATGTATACCTGAGCATCCTTCTTAAAACTTAATTTTTAAGAATGACACAAAAACAATCAATTCGAAAGTACATTAGAGTATTGGGAAACAATCCCCTGGTAGCATTTCTATGGAAACTCCCACCCTGCCCCCGGAGCGCGTGCTCAGCACTTGCAAGTATCATCTGGCTCCATCTGACGCCAGCCCTGCGGGGTCAGTAAAAACCCTATTTTACAGATGGACAAACTGAGGCTCACACTGGGAGCCCACGGTGGGGGCTGAATTTGAAGCCAGGTCTGGGGACGCCAGGGACCCCGCGCTTAATACCCACCAGCCCTTGGGTACATCCCTGTGAAGCCAGGTCCTAACTAGCCAGGTCCGCCTGGTGGCACAGACTGGGTCTTATACAAATGGAAGTGGTATGGCGTATCAGGCGAAGGTCCAGGCTGGGGCAGGTGTCAGGAGGCATGGGGTGTTCCGAACTCTGACACCTTTACGGCACTGAGTCACGTGAAAAGGGAAAGCTAGGAGCGCTCTGTGCCTTTAAGGCGGGAGCGGGGGCGGGGCGTCGGGGCGGGCCAGCGGACTGACGTGACTGCTGGCGGGAGTCGCGTAAGCAGCACATCGTGCCTTTAAAGGCCCTCGGGAGAAGGGGTCCCGGAAGCGGGCCTAGACGGCTGATTCACGCCAGGCACTCTCCTCCCCTTTAAGGCGCGCGGCAGGGCGGGGTCCGGTGGCAAGCTCAAGGCGCGGTCCGCGTCCGCCGGCAGAAAAGCGGCTTAAAGGCGACGCGTGGCGCGATGGCGGCGGCCCCACGCGCGTGCAGGCGGCGCTGGCGGCCGCTCCCGGTGCTGCTGCTGCTGCTGCTGCTGCTGGCGCTACCGCCCCCGGGGGGCCCGCCGGGCGCCGCCGCCTACTTCCCGGAGGAGCGCTGGAGCCCCGAGTCGCCGCTGCAGGCGCCCCGAGTCCTCATCGCGCTGGTGGCGCGCAACGCGGCCCACGCGCTGCCCGCCACGCTGGGCGCGCTCGAGCGGCTGCGGCACCCGCGGGAGCGCACGGCGCTGTGGTGAGCGCGGCACCCGCCTTCCCCGCGCCCGGCCTGCCGACCCCCTTGCCGGCGGCTCCACCCCGCGCGCTGCCTGCTGCCCTGGCACTGGGCGAAGCTGGCAGGACACACGCGTGTCCCCTGCTTGCTTCCCTCTTCGGGCCGGGCCCTCTGCTTGCTGTCCCTCCCTCCCCGTCTGTGTCCCGCCGCTGTGGGACTGACCGACCGCGCTCTGCTTTCTGGCCCCGCGGTTAGGGCAGATCCGGGACCACTCGTGCCCAGCCCAGGACTGGGCCGCTCTGCCTGGGACTAACCCTCAAACCGCCTTCGGAGCACTCACAGCTCCCAAGAAGGGGCGCCTGGAGCCCCCTCGGCCCACACTGCACTTCCACTAACAGGAAGTCTTTTCAGCTTCTGAGGCATTGGATCCTGAACCCAGCCTGAGTCAGATCCCCTGCCCTCTAACGAGCGTGGGTGGGTAACGGGACCAGGTGGCCAAGGGTGGGGGAGTGGATCCTTCCCGCAAGGGGAATGGGGCAGAGCCATGTCGGCTGACTGGTGACTTCCCGCCTCCTGCCTCGGTTTCCTAATCTGGAAAATGGGGGCATTAATATAACTCTGGTTGCCTTCGTCTCCGAAGATTAACCAGTTAATGCACGTGAGGCCCTGTGCCTGGCATCTCTGGCTTGGTGCTCAGTGACCAGAACTGTGGCTATTATTATATCGTCGTTGCTAGTCATCACTGCTCTTGTTGGCAACTTAATAACAACTTATTTGAGGGGATAGCAGCTCTCCTCTTCATGTGGACTCCTAAATGGCCCTCACCGCTCCCTCCCGGATTCCCCAGCCTGGATAATGCAAGCGCGCAGTTGGTGCTTAAGAAATGTTTGTTGAGGGGCGCCTGGGTGGCTCAGTCATTAATGTCTGCCTTCGGCTCAGGTCATGATCCCCGGGTCCTGGGATCGAGCCCCGCATCGGGCTCCCTGCTCCGCGGGAAGCCTGCTTCTCCCTCTCCCAGTCCCCCTGCTTGTGTTTCCTCTCTCGCTGTGTCTCTGTCAAATAAATAAAATCTTTAGAAAAAAGAAAAAGGAAATGTTTGTTGAATTAATGAGGAAGCACAGGCCACTATGAGATGGTGTTGTTCATAAGAGAGAATCGAGGAAGGTGGGATGGGGGTAGATGATACATACATTTTTTTTAAATTAAATCACGTTATTTAGTACTTAATGTGGTTATAAGATGCTAGGTGCTCAGTAGTACTAACAGCGTCTAATGTGTTTTCCCCAAAATTAGCTTGTTTAATCCCCTCTGCAGCCCAGTGAAGCAGGTCCAGTCCTCATCTCTGTTTCAGATGAGGAAACAGGCATGGAGGGGGGAAGCGTCTTGCCCAGGGCCGTAAGCTGCTGGAAGGCCAGCTTGGGGGTGTGGAGCCCATGTTGCTTCAGGCTGCCCGGTGCTGCCTCAGTCTCCCCAGTCTCGCACTGACTGTCTTGCTCTGCTTTGCAGGGTAGCCACAGACCACAACTCAGACAACACATCGGCTGTGCTGCGGGAATGGCTGGTGGCTGTAAAGAGTTTGTACCACTCCGTGGAGTGGCGGCCAGCAGAAGAGCCCAGGTGAACTCCAGGTTCTGCCCTGACAGCCCCCCCCCGCCACCGCAGGCGACTGGGCTGTGCCCCTGTTCCCACACCTTTCATGACTCCCTGTTGTCCTGTGACAGCCCCAGCCCCTCTGCCCCTGACTCTCCAGCCCAACTCCGCAGCCTTAAGGGCTGCCCGTGGCTACTCTGACCCGCTCTTAGCTTCAGTGGGCCGCAGCCCTCCAGCTGGACCTTTGCCCCCACAGTTCCCTCCACCTGGAGTTCCGTCACTCCCTTGTCCTCCCGGTGGACGCCTACTGCTTTGTTCCCAGGCTCACTCTATGCCCCAGGGCCAGCCCTGCTGCTTAGCTTCCCCATGCGCCCCTGGGCAGTGCAGAGCCCCCCCCCGCCCCCCGCCCCGTTCCTTTCAGCCTTTCAGGGTTTATGTCTTTACTTCTCCACCTACACATCCCCTCCTCCAGGAAGACCTCTCTGACCACTGCCCTCTGGGTTGCCACAGTGCCCCATCCCTAGCACATCACAGCTGGCTCTCTGCAGGTCCTACCCGGATGAGGAGGGCCCCAAACACTGGTCTGACTCGCGCTATGAGCACGTCATGAAGTTGCGCCAGGCGGCCTTGAAATCTGCCCGGGACATGTGGGCCGATTACATCCTGGTGAGTCTCTCAGCCAAATACTCTGAGATCGTGGGGGAGATCTGGTTGGCCGCTGAGGAAAGGGGGATCAGTGGGTTGTGGAGACCATCCTTAAGCCCGTTTACAGAGGGAAACAGGCTCTGAGAGGGGGAGTGAGTTGTCAGAGGTGACACAGCTGGTTAGTGGAGGAGCTGGGGTTCAATCCAGGGCCTCCAGAGTTCTTAATCATCAGCTGCTGTCCCCAACCATCCCCTGTGGTTGGACCCTTGGGTTGTCTCCTCTTTATTGCCACCTCTGTGCACCCCACAATTCCTCTGGGTGACTGCCGAGAAGCCGGAAGATGGGGTGGAGATCTGGGGGGCGCTGGAGACGCTGGGCTGCTGAGGCCTGACTTTCACTTCCTTCTCCTGGGCTGGCCATTGCCTCTGGAGGAAGGGACGGTTCAGGCTGGAATGCGGTCGTGTGAGAGCTCCTTCAGCCCATCCCTTTGATTTGGACGTGACCCCCTCCCCTGGTGCAGGTGGGGCCGGATGGCACTGGCCGCTGGGCCTGCCTCCCCATGGAGGCTGAAGGCAATGATGCCAGCCTGACAGAGCCTGTGGTTGGTTGCCATCTAGGCGCCAGGCCCCGAGCTGTGGTCTGTACCTTCTTTATTCAGTCAGCAGACCTCCATGAGCCCCTCCCTTGCCCACCACCTGCCAGAGCCTGAGGACGCAATGAGGATCAGCACGGGCTGAGCCCTGCCTTCCTAGTGTCCCAGGAAGGGGGGCCGTGACCAGAAACCAAAACTGAGTGAGGAAGTACCTAGAGGCAGCCAGTGCTGTGCTTGTAGAAAGGCAGCTGGTGATGGATCAGTGTCCTGGGGTTGCTGTGACAAAGAACCGCACACCGTGGGGTGGGGGGTGGGGGTTGCTGCCAACAGCGGAAGTGTATTTTCTCCCAGTTCTGGAGGCCAGAAGTCTGAAGTCAGGGCGTCAGCAGGGCCCTGTCCCCTCCGCAGGCTCTAGGGGAGGATCCTTCCTCACTTCCTCCAGCTCCGGGGGCTCCACGTGCTCCTCAGCTTGTGGCCTGTGGCCTGTGGCCGTGTCCCTCCGTTGCCTGTCTCTGTGGTCCCGTGGGCTTGTCTCTCTGTCTCTCCTCCTCTTATTAGGTCATCGGTCATTGACTTTAGGGCCCGCCCTACTCCAGTCTGACCCCATCTAAACCTACATCCTAGTTACGTCGGCAAAGACCCTATTTCCAACTAAGATCACAGTCACAGGGTACCAGGGGTCAGGACTTCAACCTATCTTTTGGGGGCCACCATTCAAGCCACAACAGTTGGCATAGTCAGGGTGTAGTGACGAGTGAGCAGGGTTGGGGGGTCTCTCTTAGGAGGTGACCCTAGCCGTGACCTGAAGGAACAAAGAAGCCAGCCTCGGGGGAAGCTGGGGGACAGTGTCTGAGGCGGAGGGAACCGAGTAGGGTGCAAGCTTGGGGCCGTCAGGGACTGGCGAGGAGGCCAGGGTGGGTGTGATGAAGGTGGTCCTGAAGTGGTGGGTGGGGGTCAGACCAAGGCAGAGATTTGGCTTTTACTTTGAGGGTAATGAGGAGCCACGGAGGGTATATGAGCAGGGAAGAGCTGTGTTCTTTTATTTTATTTTATTTTTTATTTTTTTTAAAGATTTTATTTATTTATTTGAGAGAGAGAGTGAGAGAGAGAGAGAGCCCAAGAGGGGGTAGGGTCAGAGGGAGACGCAGACTCCCTGCTCAGCAGGGAGCCCGATGCGGGACTCGATCCCGGGACTCCAGGATCATGACCTGAGCCGAAGGCAGTCGCCCAACCAACTGAGCCACCCAGGCGCCCAAGAGCTGTGTTCTGATTTATGATTTTCAGAAGCCCTGTGGCTGCCATGGGAGCGGGGCCTGTTGGGGCAGGAGAGGGGGACAGCAGGAGGCCTGGAGCAGGACCGCAGAGAAAGGCAAGTAAGTTGAGGATGGCTTTTTGGGCCGAGGGGACAGGTCCTTGGACATGGGGGTGACAGGAGGACCCCATATCCCTGGCCTCTCACTGCAGAGAGGAGAAAGAATGGAACAGTCTCTTCCTGGGGGCCCTGTAGGTTGATGCCTTAATCAGACCATTTTACAGATGGGAAAGTAGAGGCTTAGAGAGGGAGGTGACAACGTGCTTGTTGGTGGAGTCTCGGAACCAGTGAGGTGCAGAGGTGGGACTGGAACCTCCTGGAACCATCTAGCACAGGACCACCTTGTCTGCTTCCCTGGGTTTTGCTTTCATGGTTTGAGGCTGGCTGGTTTTCACTTTTTTCCCTCAGTAAACTCGGGTGGAACTCTACATGTTGGTTCAAAACTCAAAAGAGCTTTTGACAGGGGCGCCTGGGTGGCTCAGTCGGTTAAGCGGCTGCCTTGGGCTCAGGTCATGTTCCCAGGGTCCTGGGATCGAGCCCCCCATCGAGCTCCCTGCTCAGCAGAGAGCCTGCTTCTCCCTCTCCCTCTGCCTGCCTCTCTGCCTGCTTGTGCTCTCTTTCTGTCTGTCAAATAAATAAATAAAATCTTAAAAAAAAAAAAAAAAGCGAGCTTTTGACATACCAGTATCTTTTTGTAACTAGGGACTTTGGAAATCCATATTGGGATGTGAAATCATTTGTCCAGTGTTTTAAAATTGTTATTAAAAGGAATTCTTTAAAAAAAAAAAGAAGACCTCTTTTTACAAGAAAAAAAAGGCACCTCTTTTTTTCTCTTTTTGCAAAGGCTATGGGTGTTACTTGTAAGAAAATATACAAGAAAAAATAAGAAACTTAGGGAAGAAAAAACAAGCAAACCTTGTCATCTCACCTCCCGGAGAGACTCACTTTCTGGCTGGTTTCCGTGTTTTCTAATTGAGGTGCAATTCACATAACATAAAATTAACCGTTTCAAAGGGAACAACTCCGTGGCATTTTGTTCATTCATTATGTTGTGCAACCGCAACCTCACTCTAGCTCCAGAACATTTCCATCCCCCCAAATGATGCCCCGTCCCCATGAGCAGTCACTCCCCTCCCCCTCCCCCAGGCCCTGGCAGCCACTAGTCTGCTTTCTGTGCCCACAGATATGTGGCATTTTTTGTCTGGCTTCTCTCACTCAGCACGATGTTCTCAAGGTTCATCCGTGTTGGAGCCATGTGTCCGAGCTCTGTTCCTTTTTAAGGCTGCATGATGTTCCATTGTGTGGATGGACCACGTTTCGTTCATCCATTCTTCCATTGATGGACACGTGGGTCACTTCCACCGTTTGGCTCCCGTGGCCACCGCCACCGCAAACCTGGGTGTGCAAATCTGTTTCTGGTTGTCTTGGTGCGTACCTAGGAGTAGAATCGCTGAGTCGTACGTAGCTCTGTGTGTAACTCTTCAGGGAACTGCCGGACCGTTCTGGCTGTTTTTATTGTGTATATATTCAACGGTCACACATATAAATGTTCGTAGGGGCTGGGCAGGGAACAGCCCCACGGCTTGTCCCAAGGGGTAGCCACCTTCCGTCTCCATCTGGGGGTTGCCCTGTGGGAATGCCATTCTGGAGTTGCCAGAGAAGGCTGGAATTCTAGTTCTCGCTGTTGTGTGTGACAAGTGATTTAAAGGTTTTAAAAATCCTGCGTGGGAGACAGAAAGCGTATCTGTGGATCAGATGCATTTAAAAATCAGTCAATCCTAAGAGTTCCTCCTAAGAGTTCTGCACTGCATGGTGGCCTGCGTGTCTTCACATCCCAGTGGACAGGGACACCCTCACCTGATCCTTTTCTGTGGCGCGATTCCTAGCTGTCTCGACTCGCTCTGCAGTGGGATGGGGCCGGAACTTCTCTAGCTGGTTCGCCACTGCTAGACTCCTGGGTTGTTCCCCAGTTTGTGTGATCAACAGCACTGCAGTGAGCCTCCTGGTGTGGCCTCTCTGGAGAGTGTTGGTGACACATGGTTTTGGGGGGGGACCAGCAGGACCGATGGTGACCCTATTCCTGGATTGGTGGATTTCATTCCATGCTGCACCAAGCAACTTACCATCTTTGTATCCCAACACGTAAGGCGTTAAAGGAAAACAAAAAGCCTACGTAAAGATCTGATTTGTACACTGTTTATCAGCACGTAATTCACATTAGACAAAGTGCCTTCCTCCCAGCTGCTCCCTGAGGAATTGGCCTCTGCTCCCACCGTCCTACTCATGGACAGGCGCTGCCTGTTTGAAAAGTTCCCATAAATGGCGCTGTATGGTGCACTCACTGTCATGTTCCATGTACCCCCCAGAGGCATGTCTGGGCCCCATTTGTGTTGCTTTGTGCTGTGTGGTCTGTCCCTTCTCTTGCCACGGAGTGTATTTCATTGTGTGAGCATTACTTGGCTTGTCACTAGGGGGAGAGCCGGGCGGTGGAGGAACCAGAACCCGCTGGCTTCCAGGGCCACGTCTGCTACTCCAGGATCCCCAGACCGCCCCCTTCCTCCCGTCCAGGACTCTGGCCTCCGCCCCAGCTGTCCAGAGCTATGGCCTAGCCCAGGTCAGTCCTGTGGCCCCTGCTGATGCTCTGTTGGGTATTTTGCAGTTTGTGGATGCAGACAACCTGGTCCTCAACCCGAACATGCTAAGTCTCCTCATCGCTGAGAATAAGACGGTGGTGGCTCCCATGCTGGATTCGCGGGCCGCATACTCCAACTTTTGGTGCGGGATGACTTCCCAGGTCAGGGTGCTGCTGGGGTGGGGTGGGGGCGGGGGATGGTGGGGGTGAGCGAGTGGGGACTGTGGCTGGAGTCTAACTTATCATACCACCTCATGGTGAGCGCTTTACAACACCATGGTGATAATCCTTAAATAGCTCCTTGACAGAGGGTCTGTGATTGTGCCCTCTCCTCCCCACCCCCTTCCCAGTCACTGAGGCAGAAACAGACATACAGGGAGAGAGGACTTGACTTGCCTAAGCTCACACAGCTAGGAAGCCGTGGGGCCAGGTAGGACTTTAGGCACAGCTTGATCCAGGTGTTCAACAACATTCCTGTCTTCTTCCATCCTTTGGGTGGCTTCATTTTCAGACTCCTGGGGCACAATCCCATCATCATCCAGCCAAAGTCCACTGTGGGCCTTGTCCAGTCTCCTTCTACACCTGAGCCAATTCCTGAAGCCAGGAAAATGCCAGGTTCTGATTGGGCCAAAGCCTGGGCCGTAAGTCCCACCCGAGGGTTGAGGCTGGGATTGTGGGCAACACCAGGAGAAGTGGAAGAGTGGGTGCTGGGGTGGGGGCCATGCCAGACCCAAGACGCCCCTCCTGTCTCCTCCTGTCTTTTTAATTGATGTGCAATTCACATAACATAAAACTCACCCTCTTAAAGTGAACAATTACGTGGTTTCTATTTAAAAAAATATGTCGTAGCCCAAGTTCCCTGAAGGCCTACGTCTGGTGTTCAATCCTGTGTAAGTCAGGGAATCACAAATATCCGGTCCCTTTCTCAGCTTTTCCGTTTCCTCCTTCAAGTGCTCCCTTTCTGATCTGAAGTGTTGAGCTAGGTCTGCGGGTGCACAGCTGCTTTCCTTCCCTCATCTGCCCCTGCCCCACCGCCTGAGGCTCCGGGGGTGGACGTGAGGCCTGACCACGCCCAGAGCTCTGCATCTGGGGAGAGCCCACCACAGCCAGAGGCTGGCATCCGGGTCCTGCTCTCCAACTGTTCTGTGCCGCCCCTTGTCCCAGGCCTCCAGCCTTACCTCTAGGGTCCCCCACACAGAGCTGCGCCCTCCTCCCTGCAGGGCTACTACAAGCGCACGCCTGCCTACATCCCCATTCGCAAGCGGGACCGCCGCGGCTGCTTTGCCGTTCCCATGGTGCACTCAACCTTCCTGATCGACCTGCGGAAGGCGGCATCCAGGAACTTGGCGTTCTACCCACCTCACCCTGACTACACGTGGTCCTTCGACGACATCATTGTTTTTGCCTTCTCCTGCAAGCAAGCAGGTGAGCCCACAGGGAGTTTGCCAGCACGGGGGCATCTGTCTGGTTCTCTGGGACCAGTGTCGAGCCCACAGAAGGTTCGCAGAACCAGAACCAGAACTGCAGGGTGCAGGGACGGCTACAGGTGTGGCTGTATCCAGGTGTTCAGGTGATGTCCCCAGGACTCCCTTTCTCTCCAGCCTCAGCTTCGCTGGGTCACTTCACTCCCCATATCTTTAAGACCTCTTTACTGAAGGTTATTTTCATCTTGATATTCTCCTGTGTTCTCCCAGTTTTCTGTAGCTGAGCATAATTATTACCTATTTGTACAGTTAGGGAAGAAACGTTTTAAAGAGAAAGAGAACACAGCCAGCCACAGTTGACCTCTCATTTTTTTTTTAAACCGTGGTTTGGCAAACAATGGCCCATGGGCCAAATCTGGCCCACCATCTGTTTTTCTATAGCCACAAGCCAAGTATGTCTTTTAGGTTCCTGGACCTAATTCTGTCATGAGTGTGTGTGTCGGGGGGTGGGGGGAACTTCCCCACACCAACAAGCCATTGTCTCTGTAGGACAAGCAGGTGTCCTCCAATTCAACTCAATTCTGACACTATCTTTCCAGAGATAGTATCAAATCCCACAGGTTGAGGAGGGCTCAGTCCGACAAGACTGCCACCCACCCCAGCTTCAGATGCCGGCCACAAACCCATGTTCTCATTGTGCTTCTGACCAACTGGCTATAAATCTGAGGCTCCCAAGATGCTCTCCTTGGGTTCCATTAATTTCCTAGAGCAGTGCACGGAATTCAGGAAACCCATCTACTCACTAGGTGACTCGGTGTAGTATAAAAGGATATGACTCTGGAGCAGCCTGTTGAAGAGATGCCTAGGGTGAGGTATGTGGGAAGGGGTGCGGAGCTTCCTTGCCCCCTCCAGGCTCCAGGTATGTTACTCTCCCCACACTCCATGTGTTCACCAAGTCGGAAGCGCCCTGAACTCCATGCTTTGGGGTTTTTATGGAGGCTTCATTACGTAGACACGATTGATTGAATCATTGGCACTTGGCAATCCAACCTCTAGCTCCTCTCCTCTCCCCAGAGATCAGAGGGGTAGGACTGAAGTTCCAACCCTCTATTCATGGTTGATTCCACTGGCAACCAGTGTGTGTGTTGGTGGAGGGAGGTTCCTCTTTAAGTGCTTTCCAAAAGTCACTTATTAACGTAAGAGACACCTTTAAGCTCTCAACATCTAGGAAATTCCAAGGGTTTTGGGAACTGAGCCTGGAACTGTGGACGAAGACCAAATATATATGAGAAGTCTATATTTGGTCATCTGAATGGGAAAAAAAATGAAGAATAACATTTTGTGACATCTGAAGATTGTATAAAATTCGAATCTCAGTGCCTATAAATAACGTTTCATCAGCTCGCAGCCACACCTATTCATTTAAGTCTCATTTCTGGCTGCTTCTGCCTTCTAGCTGCAACTGAGTCATTGAGACAGAACTGTCTGGCTCACAAGCATAAATATTGACCATCTGGCCCTTTACAGAAAAAGTTAACCAGTTCAGGTGAAAATCATTTTTCATTGGGGTTTTTTACTTAAAAAAAAAAAAAAAAAAAAGATACGCCCAAAACCTTAAAGACCACCCCGAAAAGGGCAAATGCAGATGGAGGTGCCCTTACTGCGTCTGGTTCAGCCGCATCTCCTGTTCCTGCCTCAGGGTGGCTTCTGTGCTGCCCTCCGGCTGTTGTGTGGTTGTGGGGGTGGCCGTGTCGCGGAACCCCGTGGGGGAACGAGGCGGTGGCCGTGGGAGGCGCTCTCGTTAACAGCTCTGGAGTTTTTCCGGGCCTCCTGGCCAGCGCGAACCCCCTGTTCTGGCTCCCGGTCCCAGCTGGAGAGCTGAGGAGTTCCTGCCGGGTACCGGGTGCCGGGAGCAGGGGGACCCGTTGAGGTTCCAGGCCGCCCTGGGCGGTGCGGCTGGGCTGGGGAGGGGTGAGGCGCTGCCGCCTCGCACCGTTTTCACGTTGGATTGTTGTTCCCTCGGCCGCAGAGGTCCAGATGTACGTCTGCAACAAGGAGGCGTATGGCTTCCTGCCTGTGCCGCTGAGGGCGCACAGCTCCCTGCAGGATGAGGCCGAGAGCTTCCTGCACGTGCAGCTGGAGGTCATGGGTGAGTCCGCCCGCGCCAAACGGGGAGGGCCAGGTCACCTCCCTTTCCCTGCCACCTCGTGTACGGCGCCTGAACACTGATGGAGCGTGTGCCCTTTGCTTTGCCGGGAGTGGGAGACCCGGCATGAACAAGGTGGATGGTTGGCCCCACTCTTGCAAGGACGGCATCCCGAGAGCAGTCAGGATGGGCTTCTGGGAAGAGGTGGCATGAAGATGCAGGGTGGGTAGGAGTTAGCCAGGAGGAAGATCACAGCTGGAGGGAGAACCCGGGCAAAGGCCAGGAGGCTGGAGGGAACGTGAGCTCAGAGAACAGCCAAGGTTGATGGGGCAGAAATAAAGGTGGCGAACTGGGCAGAGCTGGCAGGCGGGACTGGGGCAGGGGCCTTGGACACCAAGCTGAGGAACGGGCCTTTTCCCCAAGGGCAGTTGGGAGCCATGGAGGGTACAGGACCAGAGGGACAGCAGGTTTTCGCTGACGGACCTTTATGTGCACGGCAGTGTCTGGGACACCACTGTTTTGGGCTGTGTCCTTATCCATGCCCCTGCCAAACCCCAGACCCACCATTATTTAATATTTATCTTAAGCAGACACTTCTTTTTTTTCACTTGAATACATTTATTTTAAAAAGGAAACTAGGTATTTTTACCATAGTTGCAAGTTCATGTCTTTCTAATATATATACAGATAAATCCATAAACTAGTAAACTAGCCATCCCCCTAGTGGGCCCCTGAGATAGGACAAGCACACAGGGCTGAGCTGGCTCCTGCCCCAGCTGGGGAGCTCCAGGGCCACACCACACAGTGATACATGTGTACTTCTATGAGGGCCTGGCCGTGTGCTGTCCACACACATCCTCCAGAAGGCCCCTGAGGCAGCATGGCCGATCCTCCCACTGCACAGACAGGGAAGAGCCCTGCTCTGGGGCTCCTTTCCCACTCTTAAACCTCTCTCTGGAAAGTTCTGTCTATGACACCCCCTGGTGGCTGAAGATGGAACCGCACCCTGCCCTCTTTGTTTTGGGGGATTTGGGGTATTTTGAGGTCACACCTGGAGACTGCAAGGTCACCAGGGTGAAGACCCCTGCAGTACCTGAGCGTTTGTCACACACAGATGCCCAGGCCTGGTCCAGCAGCCCCACCAGGCCGCAATCAACAGAGGTGGGTCTCTGCTCATCACCAGCTCCAACTGGTGACTGGCCCCTGAGAAATGTCTCCCAGGCCGCCATAGTTTTCCTACTTGATTTTATTATTTTATTATAATTTATTTTTATTAATATGTTTTATTTCTTTTTATTATTTATTATTTTTTTTTTAAAGATTTTTGTTTATTTATTTGACAGACAGCGAGAGAGGGAACACAAGCAGGGGGAGCCGGAGAGGGAGAAGCAGGCTTCCCGCAGAGCAGGGAGCCCAATGCGGGGCTCGATCCCAGGACTCTGAGATCATGACCTGAGCCGAAGGCAGACGCTTAACGACTGAGCCACCCAGGCGCCCTATTTTTTATTTTTTGAGAGAGCGAGAGAAAGCACACACGAGAGCAGGGGCAGTGCAGAGCGAGAGGGAGAGAGAGAGAGACTTAAGCAGGCTCCACACCCAGCAGAGCCGATGCAGGGCTCTCATGAGAACATGACCTGAGCCAAAGAGTCAGACACTCAACCGACTGAGCCACCCAGGCTCAGTTAGAGACTATTAGAAACTGAAGTCACCAGAGGGGTGAATATATTCCTGTGTCTCGAGGGCCAGAGCAAAGCATACAGAACAAACAGAAGGAGGGTCTGGAGGTTTCAGATATTTGTGTAAATCCTTCCTTCTGGTGTGGGCAGAGACTGCATTTTTCTCTCCATCCATATGTGGGTACCTGGACCTGGGCTGTGCATATGATTTTTCATGCGTTCAAAAGTCTGACGATGAAATTTCAGACTTGCAGAAAGGCTCAGTGAGATCCCTGTGGATGGGGAATCCTGCAGCCTGCTTCCTTCCCCGCCCCCTGCTCGTGGACAATGGAGCATCTTTCCCTATCGGCCCCGTAACCCTTGCTTAGTATAAATCCTGTTTGTTGAGTGTTAACACACACTGTGGTAATGGGTGGTGTGCGTGTGGCGTGATGATTGCTTTTATATCCTGTCACCAGCCACAGGGCCTCCCCCTGGCCCTCCCGCCACCCCAGTTTCATCGGCTGGTGGGTTATGGCGGTCCTGGGCTTCTGTAAGTGGAATCACCCAGCGTGCCTCTCTCAAGCACCATGTCTTCCGCCCAGCATCTCAGCGGTGCTGGCGTGACTGCCGTGTGCAGCTGTGGCTCGTTCCCTGCCTTGTTGTGTCGTGTTAACCATAGATTTATCCAGTCTTGGCTACATCACACGTCACTTTACCAGTCTTCTCATGAGGGACATGGAGGGTGTTTCCCATCTTCCCCAGGGTTGCTGTGGATTTCCCATGCACGCGTGTGAGGGAGATCCAGACATGCCTCAGCGGGCGTGTAGGTAGGAAGTACCCACAAGATTGCTCTACTTCTTAAACCAGTTGCAAGGTCTGTGGGTCCCCAAGACCATGCTCAGGTTTGATAATTCAGTAGCAGGACACGGGACTCACTGGAAGCTGTTACACTCACAGTTAGGGTTTATGACAAGCGAAAGGACACAGGTTACAGTCGGCAAAGGGAAGGGGTGTCTGGGGTGGAGACACCCAGGGTGTTCCGTGCATGGAACTTCTGGGTGTCCCCTGTCTGTGGAGTCTTGTGGACAGCTTTCACTTCTCCTAGCACCAGTGTGTGACCACACGCATGGTGTACTGCCATCCAGGGATGCTCCCTGAGCCTCGGTGTCCGGGGTTTTTACTGAGGCTCACTCACATGGACCTGGCTAACTGCCGCATGGGTGATCTCCGTCTCTAGCCCCTGCAGGGGGCGAGCTGATTCCACGTGGCCTAAGACCCCTACCCTAAATCACACTGTTGGCATAGACCACCCAGTGTGGCCCAAGACCCCAGGCAAACACACTCTTATCAGACAGGATATGTAGAGGGCTTCGATCTTCCAGGAACTGGGCACAAAGGCCAGACCTCTCTTTGGCGAAATTTGATTATTCACCCCCATGATGGGTCTGGAGGTGTTAGGTTTTTATAATCACTGTGATGTGACTTTCTGGAAAGGCTTCATTGCTTTGCTCCTGGATGCCTGATGTGCTCCATCTTCCCAGAATTGATGACAAAGAGTGAGGAGATCCTCCCTCCCCACAGGCAGGCCTTGTTGCCCGCCATACCTGCAAGTGGAAGGGCAGAAGCTCAGGAGAAGGGAAAAGGCATCTGGACTTTGAATCTGGGTGCTCGGATCCCAGCATCTTGCTCTTGGTCTCCAGCACCCCAAAGAGGGCTAGGGGGTGGCCAGAGCTGTGAAGAGCCCTGGACGGGAGGAAACCCCAGGGATGCAGTGTCCCTGGGGGACCCAGGTTGGCTTTGGGCCGCGCCCTGGCCTGTCCCAGACAGAGGGGCGTGTGTCTGTCCCTCAAGCTCACACAGGGCCTTTATTCTTGATCGGGCAGATGCCGCAATCACCGTCAGGCTGGGCTCCTCTGGGCCAGCCTCCCCAGCCTCCTATCCGCCCGTGGATCTGATCCTTCTGAAAGAAGCCACCAGGGATGTGTCGGGACAGGCCCCCGGGGACGTGGTCTGAGCACTGTTCATAGCAGCAAGAAGGGCAGTGATCATGGCCACTCTGAAATTCTTGCCATACCTTGGCTTGTAGACATGCCACTCCAGTCACACAGTCACCTTCCCCCGGTGTGTCTCTGTGGTCTCCCCTCTGTGTGCTTGGCTGGATCCAAACTGCCCATTTTGATAAGGACCCCAGTCACTATTTTAACTTGGTTGTCTTTGTAAAGACCTTATTTCCAAATAAGGTCACATCCTGAAGTACTGGAGGTTAAGATGCCAACATAATGGGGAGGACACGATTCAACCCATAATGTGTGTCATTTCATGGCATCTTCTCCTGAAACCTCTGGGTGGAGGAGGTTTTTAAAATTGGAGTACCGGGGCGCCTGGGTGGCTCAGTCGGTTGAGTATCTGACTCTTGGTTTCAGTTCAGGTCACGATCTCAGGGTCCTGAGATTGAGCCCCGTGTCAGGATCCATGCTCAGTGTGGAGTCTGCTTGAGATTCTCTCTCCCTCTGTCCCTCCCCTCCCCAACTCATGCACACTTTCTCTCTCTCAAACAAACAAATAAATCTTTAAAAAATAAAATTGGAGCCCCATTTTATACTTGAGGAAAGCCAAGGCCCCGACAGGTCAAGGTCACACAGCTTGCCATCATTTCTTTGTTCATTCTATGAGTAATTATTGAGGGCCTGCTGTGTACCAAGCGTTGGGCATTGGGGACTCAATGGGCAGACCTAGTGTCTGTCCTGCGGGGCTTGTGGCTGACAGAAAGCCAGGGAGGTGGGCCCACAGGATTGGGGTTTGAGGATGGAAGGCCAGATGCTGTGGGAGCCAGGAGGAGGTACCCTGCCCCAGCTCAAGAGGGCATCTTAGTTGAGAACTCAGGGGAAGGAGGGGAGGAGGGAAAGCTGTTTCAGGCAGAGGTCCAGCATGTGCAGAGGTCCTGAGGTAGGAAGGGGTGCATTTGGGGCAGTGCCAACAGCCAGAGTTGGGAAAGAGACTAGCACCAACATTGTGAATGGTGCCAGGCTAAGGAGCTCAGGGTGACGGGGTTCCCAGAGGGGCTGGGGGAGGGAAGGGACATTGTTAAGAGGCTAGAGCCCCTCCCCCAGTGACCCCGCTGACAACGCCCCCCTTCTGTCTGCCTCACAGTGAAGCACCCACCAGCGGAGCCCTCCAGGTTCATCTCAGTGCCCCCCAAGACGCCTGACAAGATGGGCTTCGACGAGGTGAGCCAGGCCTCCCCTGGCAGGCTGGGGTCGGGGGTGGGGGCCGGCCCGGAGGGTCCGACCAGAGCTCTGGGCCACAGGTCTTCATGATCAACCTGAAGCGGCGGCAGGACCGGCGGGAGCGCATGCTGCGGGCCCTGCAGGCGCAGGAGATCGAGTGCCGGCTGGTGGAGGCCGTGGACGGCAAGTGCGTCCCGAGTCCCGCCGCGGGGGGGAGGAGCCAGTGGGCCCCGGGGTGTAGACCACTCCCTGGCAGGCCCGGCCCAGTGGGTCTTCCTCTGACCCCCCGCTCCCCGCCTGCAGAGCCATGAACACCAGCCAGGTGGAGGCGCTGGGCATCCAGATGCTGCCCGGCTACCGGGACCCCTACCACGGGCGGCCCCTCACCAAGGGCGAGCTGGGCTGCTTCCTCAGCCACTATAACATCTGGAAGGAGGTAGGTCTGGCAGGGGAGGGGAGGGCAGGGCCGACCTCAGGCTTCTGGCAGCTCAGGGAGGGACTCGCTGGCGCCCCCTGCAGGCTTCTGAAACTTTGGCAGGACACGGGACCTCTGTTTCGACATGACTTCACCTGCGTGTCACCAGCGGCCTGGCTGGGGCAGCTGCTGTCCTTCCATTGTGCAGATGGGGGAAGCAGACTAGGGAGGGAGGGATGAGCCAGGCTCCCATAGAAGGTGGGGTCTCAGGCCCAGGACCCCCAAGTGAGGCCTCTTCCCACCCCACTGTTGCCACATGTCTTTGGAGCCTGGACTCTGAGCTCAACATTTACAAGTAGAAGTGACGGCCGCAGGGACAGTAAGCAACACTAACCCCGCGCCAGGGGCTCGTCAGCCACCCTCGGAGGCCGAGATTCAAACCTGGAGCCACCGGGCACGGAGCCAGATGGGGCGTCTGGGCATTTGAGGTGACAGTGCTCTTTCCCTGAGTGACACTCGTCATGGACGGCATGGGGCAGAGGCTGCATTATCCAGGCGTCCAGACCCCGCTTCAAGCCCAGCCCTGCCTCTTAGAGGGGTGAGCTCTGTGAGCAAGGAGGGTGCCCTTTTCTGGCAGATGACAGTCACCCTCCTCAGTCTTGAGGATTCTCAAGTGCATGCAGCGAGCACCCATGCACCTGCTGTGCATCTGGCCTGGTACTGGTGCTGGGAATGTGACAGCACCAAGACAGATGTGGGCCCCTGCAGGGGGCTCACAGCCCAGGGATGTGGGGTGACTGATGGCAAACCATAATAAACTAAGTGCGACGCACCCACAGGAGGGCCATGAATTGTCCTCAGCTGACAGCTTTGGCCAGTGGTTGGGGAGGGCCTCATAGGTGACATCTGGCCCGAGGCCTGAAGGCTGGGGCCTGCCTGCTGCCACACATTGGCAAAGGCACAGACCTTGGGGTAGGAAGTAGAAGCCAGGCCAAGGCCAAGGTCAGGGCACATGTCGCCAAGTGTGCGAGGAGCTGATGGCCAAGAGGTCTATCCAGAAGATGGTGAGGAAGGCTTGCATTTGCTTCTCTCCTGCTGCCCGGCCTTGAAGCAGAGCTGACTTCAGGGTCAGGTCTGGCCTTGGTCTCTGTCTGATGTGGGCAGGGCATCCTCCCTCAGGTTGTGGACCGTGGGCTGCAGAAGTCGCTTGTCTTCGAGGACGACCTGCGCTTTGAGATCTTCTTTAAGAGACGCCTGCTGAACCTCATGCGGGACGTGGAGCGGGAGAGTCTGGACTGGGACCTCATGTGGGTGTGGGGCAGGGCTGGCCATGGGGTCTGGGCCTTGGGTGGCACTGGGGTGGGGCTGGGGCTGGGGGGCTCAGTTTGGAGTGAGGTGGAGCTGCAGTCTGGAGCTCAGAAGTGTGGCCCAGAGCCTGGAGGTCTGAGGGTCTTTGCAGGTTAATAGGCTGGGCCAACTCTTGGGGGTGTGGCAGAAGGTGTAGCCTGTGTGAGGGGCCCCGTGGTCCCTGGATCCGAGAGCAGTCAGGGTTTGGCCTAAAGCCTGTAGGTTAGGGCCTGTGGCCTAAGGCCTGGGGGGGTAGGGCCTTTGGGGTAGGGCCAAAGGCCTGTGAGGATGACCTGGAAATCTCAGGACCTGGCCTGTGGGGAGGGGGCTCTGTCAGGCCTTGGAGACTTGGTGAGTCCAAAGGAGATGGGGTATGCCTAAGATTTGACGTGGAAGCCTGTGCACATGGCTGAAGATCTTGGGGTGTGGGCTAGGGTAGGTGTGGCCAGGGCTTGGGGGTGTGCCCAGGAGCTGAGGGCATGACTGAATGTGGGGGCATACCCAGGGAGCCTGGGTCTTACTTAGACCAGCACTAGGTAGGCTGTGGCCAGCATATTTCTGGAACAGTCCTTTGGAATCTCCTCTAGGTGAGTTGGTTCGCCCTCCCCCGCCCCCTTCTCTCTCTCTCCTGCATACAGGGCCCTGATACAGGTTCTAGGCCCCAGACTCTGGACCATGCTAGTAATAGGTATAGAAGCCATATCCCTTCATCCCCAGCTACTCACCACACTCCTCCACTTGCCCAGCTGCCCCACAACCTTCTGAACTTAGAGCAGCTTCCCTCCTAGCCCCACTCCTTCCCGTGGTTCAGCCTCAGAGAGTGTCCAGGACGTCTTCCCCTTCCCAGTTGCAAATCCTCCCATGGCTCCCTAGTACCCTTGGAAAAAACTCAGTCTCCTCCCTGCACGTCCCAGACCCCTGTGGTCCTCCCTGGCCCGGCAGCCACACCGGCCTCCTGGTTGCTCCCCCAAACACACCCAGCCCGCTCCCACCCCAGGGCCTGACGGAGACTCGCTGGATCTCAGACTTGCGCAATTAGCATTTTCCTGCGGGCGGGAAGAGGGTGACAGGACCCTGACTCTGCACCCGCAGCTATGTGGGCCGGAAGCGGATGCAGGTGGAGCACCCGGAGAAGGCAGTGCCGCGCGTGAGGAACCTGGTGGAGGCCGATTACTCCTACTGGACGCTGGCCTACGTGATCTCCCTGCAGGGCGCCCGCAAGCTGCTGGCTGCCCAGCCGCTCTCCAAGATGCTGCCTGTGGACGAGTTCCTGCCCGTCATGTTTGACAAGCACCCAGTGTGAGACGCTCGCTGCGGGCACCCGGGCCCGGGTCTTGCTGTGGGTCTGTCCTGGCTCGGTGGGCGTGGGGCTGGCGGATCCCCGGCTCCCCTCTGCGTACTCCTCCCTCCATGCCGGCCCCCCCGCCCCGCCCACTTCTGTCTCAGTCTGTCCCCTCCCACGTCCCCCTCCATCTGTCCCCGACTCCCAATCCACGCCAGTCCCCCTCTCCCCTCGCTCCCCAGGTCCGAGTACAAGGCCCACTTCTCGCCCCGCAACCTGCGCGCCTTCTCCGTGGAGCCCCTGCTCGTCTACCCCACGCACTACACGGGGGACGATGGGTACGTGAGCGACACGGAGACGTCAGTCGTGTGGAACAACGAGCACGTGAAGACCGACTGGGACCGCGCCAAGTCCCAGAAGATGCGGGAGCAGCAGGCCCTGAGCCGCGAGGCCGAGAACTCGGACGTCCTGCAGTCGCCCCTGGACAGAGCGGCGCGCGACGAGCTCTGAGCGCCGGCGGCCAAACACCGAAGCTGGCCTCGTGGGCCCGGCACCACCCCGCAACCCCCCCCCGCGGACCCCCGGCAGGCCACGGAGGGCTCTCTCCCCGCGAGGGGCGTGCCTCAGGCTCTGGCTCTGGCTCGGCAAGCACGTGCACGCAGGCAGCTTTAACGCAGTGCCTACTGTATGCCAGGAGCGGGGCTTGGCGCCGGGGGATCGGGGGAACCAGACCTCCTCGTTCGTGTCTTTGGGTGCCGAACACTTGAAGTCCTCACCGGGTACCGGGCTCCCGTGTTTGGCAGCGGGTGAGGCATAATTATCCCCTCCGCCGGTGACTGATTCAGCCATCAAGCTTGTTTTGATTCCCGCCCGCCCCCCGCCCCCCCCAAGAATCAGCACTAGTGATACACAGTCATTGTTTTAATCCATTGAAATATTTATTGAATGCCTACTGTATGTTGGGCACCAACCATTCTGGGCTCTGAGAATATTGGGGTAAACAAGACACTTTCTTCATTTCTCTGAACACCTATCAAGCACCCACTATGTGCCTGGTACTTGTGACACAAAGACAAGTCCTTATTAACTCAGCATTTATTGAGTGCCTGCTGTGTGCTGGGAACTGAGCTTGGTGCTGGGGGTGAAGATGAACCAGGTGCTTTTCACTCTTCGATTGGCTTCTTCCTGACTCGTCTAGAGAGCGCCTGCTGTGGGCCAGGCATTAGTGATACCAAACGGTGTGGCAGTTGCTGGGTCAGCATCGGATCACCCATGTGTGTGCGGGGCCACGTGTCAGGGGCTGGGCCACCGAGATGAACAAGATGAGTCTTCTTTCTTCATGCAGCAGGTGTTTATCAAGCGCCTACTGCGTACCAGACCTCGTGGACCCCCAGTGGGACTGGAGAATGGTTGGCTGAGAGTTTGATCCCCACCTGTCCCTCGGTCACCCAAGTTGTGTGCAGACAAAGTCGCCCCACCACCCAGGAGGGAGGGTGGCTCTCCCCTCACCAGGGGCAGCTGCAGGCCCCAGCGACCACATGGCCACACGCAGGCTCCCCTGGACCCGGCCCCCCTGGCGGGGGCAAGGGACAAAGACAGGGGCTGGGTCTCCTGTGCTCACCCGTGCTCCTGTGTTGACCTGTCGCCCCGTTGGCTTGACCTCCCGGGCCTGCATCTCAGGCGTGGGCTCTGCCCGCTCTGTGGGGTTCCTACATTCAAGCCTTTGGTAGGACCGTGTGTTTGGGGCCCTGTGTGGGCTCGGCTGCACCAGGGTACTGCCCGTGGCCTGGGCAGGTGCTCCCCGGCATGGGCTGGAGGACTTGCTGTGCCTTCAGCCTGGAATGAATGTCAGAGCCAGCCAGCGGTGCTTTGCTCGCTTAGGGATACCTGCTCCCCGGGTCAGGTCCTGGATAACCTGCTTATTTTTTTATTAAATGTTCCTGGTTGGTTTTCACATCAGTCTGTGTTCTTTTCTTGGCCAACTGCTCTGCCCACCACCAACACACACTCACACTCCCCCCACTGCCAGCCAAGATGTGGGAGGAGACCAGGCGCTGGAGGGAAGCCCAGTGGTGGAGGGATGAGGCGGGGGGTGTGGTGAGAGCCCCAGCTCCTGGCCTGCCCCATAACACTTCCCTGAAATAGCTCAGGGACAGCTGGGGCCCACTGCAATGTGTCCTGTGGGGTCAACGGCAGGATCATCTCTGATGACAGAATGAGGAGAGACGCTGTCATATTTTGGGGTCTCCAGAAAACAGACTCCAAGATGAGGATTTGAGTTGTCCCAGAAGTGACCCCAGGAAGCCCCAGATGGGGGTGGGGACGTGTGCCGAGGAGGGGAGGAAACCTGCAGGAGGCGTCAATGAGCAACTGAGTCTGGGCCTCTGGGGACCTCAGGAGATAGCATAGAGCATGTGCCTCAGAGTGGTCCCACCCCAGGGGCGATGGAGGCGGGGCATTTAGCCACACCCAGCTCTTCCTCAAATACTGAAAGGTTCTCAAGATTCCTAAGCCCTTAGAGTGCGTAGGTACGTACCCAAGGCTTCTACAAAATAACACAGACGGTGTGTAATCCTTGTGGAAGAGTTAGAAAATACAGCTAAGCAAATTGAAAAAGGCCAATTAAATCCTATATCCTCAGAGACGACAACAATTACCATTTTGGTGAAAAACCTTCCAGTCTCACCCATGCGCATGGTGCAAATATACACACATTTTCCCCAAAGAGAGGATCATGTTCCATAAATGGATTCAACCTTCCCCCTGCCCATCCTCCACCCGACTCAACACATTTTTATTCCATAAACATGGGATCAAATTGCACCCGGTTTTTCAGCAATTTTCTTTTTAAATTTAACAACATATTGTGGACGTTCTAATCAGGGCAGACGTCTATATGAGTTCTTTTTGGGTTGTCACATACAATGTTCAGCGATGGTGATGGACCGCCATTCACTCGGCCGTTCTGACCCCGGACTGTCACCACCCGACTGCAAGCCGTGTTACATGACACATCCTCCCTGCAGTTGGGTGAGTCGACGCAGGTGAAAATGCTGGATTCACATGTGTGCACGGCTCATTTCATGCGGCTACCGACCGTATTTACCCTTCTTGCTTAATCCTGACTGTTCATCGTGTGTTTACAGAGGTGGATGATGCAAGTTTATTAATCTCTCATAGAACATTGGAGTCATTTCTCATGTGTTCCAATTATGTGGGATGTTTCTAAATCTTATCTTAACCCAGTGGATCTCAGCTGGGGTGTTTTTGTTTCTCGGGGTCATTGGGTGATGTCTGGAGACCTTTCTGGTTGTGGTGACTTGGGGTGGTGCTACTGGCATCTGGGAGGGGGCGCAGGGATGCCACTGCATGTCCTCTGGTGTACAGGGCAGCCCCGTGACAAAGACTGATTTGGCCCCAGAAGTCCACAGGGCTCTGGTTGAGAATCCTGCACCAATCCCATTCAGCTTCTTGGGGACATGAGTCTCTAGAAGGGTCTTCTTTGCGGCATGAAGTGAAGCATCCTTCGCTATGAAATCTCTCTGATTAAAACAGATTCTGCCTCCAGACCGAAGAGGTTAGAAGCTTAAAAGTGGTGACTGGGAATCCCAATTTTATTCTGATAAAGTCTCCAGAAGAGTCATAGTTCCATGTTTCCACTGATACATATATCACAAGTTATATTCAAAAGTCTGAAATCAGTTTCACTTGGGCATAGTCAAGATGTCAGCAGGGTTGGATTCCTTCTGGAGGATCTAGGGGAGATTCCACGTCCTTGTTTTTTCCAGCTTCTGGAGATTGCTGGCATGCCTTGACTCACAGCCACTTCCTGTATCTCCCCAATCCCTTGCTTCTGTCATCCCGTCTCCTACTTCTTCATCTGACCTTCTTCCATCCCTCTTACAAGGACCCTTGTGATTACACTTAGGACCCACTTGGATAATCCAGGATAACATTCCCATCATCTTAAGATCCTTAATTACATCTACAATGTTCCTTTTGCCGTTTCCGTGCGTCCTTGCGCAGGGGCCATGCTAAGCTTCTCTGTATCGTTCCAATTTAGGTATATGTGCTGCCAAAGCCAGCACTCCTTTTGCCATTTATTTATTTTATTTTTTTAAAGATTTTATTTATTTATTTGACAGAGAGAGACACAGCGAGAGAGGGAACACAAGCAGGGGGAGTGGGAGAGGGAGAAGCAGGCCTCCCGCCGAGCAGGGAGCCCGATGTGGGGCTCGATCCCAGGACCCTGGGATCATGACCTGAGCCGAAAGCAGACGCTTAACGACTGAGCCACCTAGGTGCCCCTCCTTTTGCCATTTAAAGTAACATTCACAGGGGCACCTGGGTGGCTCAGTCAGTTAAGCGTCAGACTCTTGATCTCAGCTCAGGTCTTGATCTCAGGGTTGTGAATTCAAGCCCCGTGTTGGGCTCCATGCTGGGCGTGGAGCCTACTTTAAAAAAAAAAGAAAGAAAGAAAGAAACTTTCACAGATTCTGGGCAATGGGATGTGGGTATCTTTGATGGAGGGGTTCTTCAGTCTACCATATTTATCGTTTTAGCAGACTGTAATTGTGGCTGGGTCTATGGATGTATCATAATTTCTTATGTATCCTGGTGTAGCATAGCAGTCAGGATTAAGGGTGGGAAATAGAAACCACTTGAGGTCTTTTTTTTTTTTTTTAAGTGAACTGTATGTCCAATGCAGGGCTTGCACTCATGACCCAGAGATCAAGAGTCCCATGCTCTACTGACTGAGCCAGCCAGGTGCCCCGAAAAACCACTTGAGGTCTTTTAACACAAAGGGTTTAATACAGGAAATTCAAAAGACTGAACTCTGCGGTTGTAGCATGAAAGCAGCCGCAGATTGAGCTGAATGAATGAATGAATGAATGGAGCGTGGCCTTGTGCCAATAACACTTTACTTACAAAAACAGGCAGTGGGCTGGGTGAGGTTCAGGGAGCAGAGTTTGCCACTCCTGGCGCAGGGGAGCAGGGCCAGGACTGGTCCTACAGGAGTGACTCTGCGGAACCTGCTCACCAGGGGGTCTGAGGCTCCCTGAAATCAAGGCAGGGAGGCAGGAGGTCCTTGACACCTCTGACTTGGGGCACACACCCTGTATCTGTGATCCAGAAATGGAATGCCCCCTTTGTGTCCGCCACAACTGCTTTTCAACACCCACCAAGCTTGTCACTGGACAAGGGAATGCAGATTCCAGAACAACAGGTGTTTCTATGCCTGGCTGTGAACAGGGGAAGCAAAAACCAAGACAGCTTCGGTCCCTTCGGCCTTCCAGATGCCCCCAGGCATCTCCGTGGGTGGACCTGAGCACGTGCCCAGCTGCGGGGAAACTCTGTGAGCCTGGCTGCAGCTTTGCAGCCTCTGCCTGGAAAGAGGTTGGATCGGGGCGGGTTCTGATGTCAACCCACCACTTCCTCCTCATTTATTCCTGTACTTTATGGTGATGGGAAGAATGGTTGTGTAATTGTAGGATGCATAATCGTGGAACCTATTATATGTAATTGTAGCATTAGGAACACAGTAATTATCATGCAATATAACGAATTATGTAATGAAATGT